CAAGACACTCATTTTCAGGAAGATTTGTCTTCTACAGATGGGAGAGGGCCTGGGATTGGGAGGTGGAATGGAGGAGAGTGACTGGGGCCACGCGAGGGTTGTGGGACTGCAAGGAAAGGGAGGAAGACATGGGACAGGATGAAGGAAAGTTGGCAGGACTTGGTGACTGATTAGATAGGAGGTTTGTATTAAAGTGTTAGCCAGGTTTCAAGTCTGGGTGACAGGAGAATGTACATTATCTTAAACAGACATAGAAAAGCTGGCGCGTGAGGTCGGTTTTTCACGTGTGGAGTCCAGCAGGCAGCCTGAGAAGGTAAAGAATTTGTGGAAATTTTTTTTCTAAGCAGGAAGAAACCTGAGAGATCATCTCTCCCTCCTGCCCTCTCATGTTACAGATGAAAAAAAAACACGGGACACGTTAAGTGCTATGATCATTCTCAATGAGTATTTAAGAGGGAGATCCTATATCATAATGCAAAGGAATCCTAGAGGCATAAAATGGAAAAAAGATCTGAAAGATGCCCTTGTGGGATCTTGAAGTCCTAAAAAGGAAAGAATTTGGAATGTGTGGAGCAGGAAGAGTAGAGGGCCAAAGAGCCCTTTATTCTGGGAGGAAGAAGGGAGTTGGCAGAAGAAGGAGCCAGGAAGGATGCAGAGAGAAGCAAGGTGGGAGAGGTGGGGACTCAGAATGAGGACTGGGAAAAGCCACTTGTCTTGGTTAGGTTGCAACAGTAGGAAACATAGTCACAAAAGTAAGTGCTGCCCATGAACTAAATCATGGAATCTTTGTGACTGTTCAAGATGGGTCATACTTCCATTTTACTGATGAGAAAACTGAGACAAAGAGAAGTTAAACTACTTGCTCAAAATGACACAGCTCTGTAGTGGAGGAGCCAGAGAATACCAGTCAAGCATGATTTCAGGGGACAGATGAAAACAAAAGCAAGAAGTTCTGAGGCTGTTGGCAGTAAAGGGGGGGTGTGTGTGGTTCAAGGTTCTAGACAAGGTTACTTTGCAGATAAGGAGCTCAGAGAATGAAAGACAGAGGCCAGGGAAGCCAGAGAGGGCAAGCCTAGAGCCTTAGGCAACAGGAGATAAAACACTTCTGAGATTGTTTGCTGGCTCCCAGCCTTTTCACCACTAAAGGCTGTTTTTATTATTACTTAACTCCCAGGTTTCAAAGAGTTTGACTAACAACTTTAAGCTTTTAATTGAGGTACAAATTATGTACAATGCAATGTCCACATCTCAGGTATAACATTTAGTGAGTTTTTTTTTAAGTAGTTGATGGATCTTTATTTTATTTATGTATTTATATGTGATGCTGCGTGCCTGACACACATGAGGCAAGTGCTCTACCACTGAGCCACAACCCCAGCTCTACATTTAGTGAGTTTTCATCATAAACTTAATGTTATTTCACTTCCCAGTTTTATTACCCCCCAAAATGTGTGAAATTGCCAATTAGAACCTAAGATTATCACATCAGGCCAATACAATCTAGCTAAAAGTGAGGATACCTGGCATGGTACCCTGTTTAGCCTCTCTGAGGCTTTGTGAAATATATCCATATTAGCACATAGCTATATCTACATAACGTCATCTAAGAGTGCAGAGATCTAAGGACCCAACATGTATGAACAAGCTCAGTCAGTTATGGGAAGAGATGGCCAGGAAGAACAGGGCCATTTTGGACTTTATGCTTAAAACTGTCTCTTAAAAAAAAAAAATTTTCAAATATAAAATATGACATTTTCTTCTTTTTTTTGGTGACAAGAAGATCTAAAGTCTGCTTTTAACAAAAATCCTCAATCTAATACCATATAACTCTCATCCTCCTGTTGTACATTAGATCTCTAGACTTGTTCTTCTTACCTATCTGCAACTTTATATCCTTTGGCCTACATTTTCCCATTCCCACGGCTCCTGTAACCATTATTTAATTCTCTGTGTATGTGTTTTCTTTTTTCTTTTTTTTTTTTTTTACTTTCCACGTGTAAGATTTTGCAGTATTTTTCTTTCTGTCCCTGGCTTATTTCAATTAGCATAGTGTACTTCCGGTTAATCCATTTGTGGCAAATGACAGGCTCTTTTCTTCAGGCTGGATCACATTCCACTGTGTGTGTGTGGATCACAGTTTCTTAATGTATCCATCCATCAGTCCATCAGTGGACACTTTTTTTTTTTTTCTTTTTCTCCATATCTTGACTCTTGTGAGTAATGTTGGAAAGAACATGTGAGTGCAGGTATCTTTAAGAGGTGGTGACTTCATTTCCTTTGGGTACATGCCCAGTAAAGGGATTGCTGGGTCATTTGGTAGTTCTATTTTTAATTTCTTTAGGAATCTCAATTTATGTTTCCTCCAACAATATACGAAGATTTCCTTTTCTCCACACCCTTGCCAACCCTGGTTATCTCTGGAGGTTTTGATGATAGCCATCCTAACAGGTGTGAAGGGATAGCTCCTTGTGGTTTTGATTTGCATTTCCCTGGTTAGTGACCGTTGGACACTTTTCATACACACTTGGTCACTGTTGTGTCTTGTTTGGAGAAATGTCTATTGTCTCAATACCACTGGCCAAGCTATCAAAGTTGATTTTGGGGAGTTGAGCCAGGAGAGGTATGGTCGTATTAGTTCTTCTTTTTTTTTTTTTTTTTCAATATTTTTATTTTTTAGTTCTCAGCAGACACAACATCTTTGTTGGTATGTGGTGCTGAGGATCGAACCCGGACCACACGCATGCCAGGCGAGCGCGCTACCGCTTGAGCCACATCCCCAGTCCAATATTAGTTCTTCTTAAAAAACAACAATGACTCAAAGATATTATAAATTTTAGTCTGTATAGCTACATATGTAGTAATAGTAAGGAATTATTATTTTTTAGAGGTTTTGTTTTTGTTTTTGTTTTTTGGTACCAGGGATTGAACCCAGGGGCACTTTACCACTGAGCCATATCCTCAGCCCTTTTTAAATATTTTATTTAGAATCAGTTGTCTAGCTGAGTTGCTTGGGGCCTCTCTAAGTTGCTAAGGCTGGCTTTGAACTCATGATCCTCCTGCCTCAGCCTCCACTGGGCTTACAGGCATGTACCACTGCGCACAGCTTGTTATTTTCTAGGTTTGAGAGTAATATGGTGGTATTGTTGAAAATGACAGGCTTACCTTTTAAAGATAATGCTGAAAAATTCCAGGTGATGGTGGGTGGGGATAAAAATGTAGCCAGACTGCCCTGAATTGAGAATTGTTGAAATTGGCAAATGGTTGTTCATTATACTGGTCTACTTTTGTATGTATTTAAAATTTCCCATACAAATTTTAAAAGAGAGGTTGGGAGAGTAATTCAGGGGTAAAGTATGTGTTTAGCATGTATAAGACCCTGTGTTCCAATCCCTAGTACCAAAAAAATAAGTAAGTAAGTAAATAAATAAATAAAAAGAAGGATAAAATTAAAGATATCAGTCAGGTTTTAGCTGCATTTAACTGAGATTTTTCTATGATAAACCAAAAAAGTTTAACAAGGAATTAAGAACCTATAAAATTGCAGACAGAGGAGGCGATAGGCTGGGTGTCTAAGAATAATTACCATAACTGCACCATTCAGCTGGCTGACTAAGGTCAACTGCTAATTGTACCTACATCAGGAAGTCATAAACTAGGAAGCCACTGTTACCATTGCATGCTCCAGGAACACATCACTCAGGCCAGATCTGACAATGAGGAATCATGACTACAGCTGTTGACTCTAGTGCCACCTACTTGCTATACCTGCTAGAATCGTTCCAGCAAAATGGATGCCTTCTCCCACCATTACCACTCTCTGATGGTGAAATCTAATCACTGCTAGATCCCTGGCTGTAAGAGGGTGTGGGAAATGGAGTTTATTTCTTCCTACATGTTGTGAACTCTATTAGAAAAAGGTGGAAACAACTGAGTTGTCCATCCCACCACATACTACCATTCCCACCACACATTCCCACCACACAGTACCATCAGCAGTAGGTGTATTAGCACTGTTTCCAGTGTAAGTGATGTCTTCCCCACCTCCAGTCTAATCTTAACTGTCTTTACACACAGTTCAAGTCCTGTTTCTTTAGAAAGCCTTACCTGACTTCTCCAGGCCCTATTTATTTTTCCTCCTTTTCTACCTCCCTGTTTTCCTTCCTTCATGAACTCATGCATGTGTGTCATATGTGTGTGTATGTATGTCTCTGAAACCTTTGTGGACATAGTCTTTGTTCTGCCATGTAATTTGATCTCTATCATGCAAACATTTTTTTGGCATACCATCCGTTTATATGGGATGCCGTGCTTGCTTCAACAGGCGTTAAGTGACTTAAAGCAAGACAAGTTTGTATTTGTTCCTTCCTTGGGTATATAATTCCACATAGAGAGTAAATTTATGTATTTAACATTAATATCATTGTAAAATGTACCATTGTAAAATGTACCCGGATAATCATGCTTACCTTAAGTATCTTACAAGATTGTGGTACGGATCAGAAGTGTTCTGTGCTGAGTGAATTGTAATTTGTAACCTATTATAAATGTTGAGAGATAGTAATTATGATTAGGTTAACGCCAGGATTTTCACACGATGACCCCAGCATGCCTTTTAATTAATTGTATAGTTTGATGATTGTTTCTTATCTTTCAGTGAAAATGTAGTTCTTTGTTTTTTAAATTCAACCTGTACTTTCTGTTTCTCTGGGTTAAAGTCTAGGCTCAGGCCCGGTCTCCACCTGTCAGTCTTCTTTCCACCAAGCAGTCTGTCCAGCGATAGTGGGTCAGATGTCCATTTCTGGCACAGTCAATCAGTTAACCAAGCATATGTAGTAATAGTGTAGACTTGGTTTACTGACAGAACTCAGGATAGGATAGAAAATGGTATCTTGTCAAGTGAAAAAAATACATATATATTTTAAAAGCTTAATGATTGGCATGATTTCCATCTTTGTAAATGTATATGTTTTTAAATTTATACTCATTCTTTCATTTAACAGATACTTACTGAGTGTCTCCAGTGTGCCAGGCAGCGGATCTATGTGCATAGAGGAACCTTGGAATGCAATACAGCAGTACGTATCCAGTGATCATCTCTTCTTGCTGATTTAACAGGTGACTTTTTTTTCTTTTTACCTGTTTTATTTCATTTGCAAAACCATTTTTTTTACAAAGACTTATTTGTTTATTAATAAAGAACTAATATATTTTTGGGGGTGGAGGGAGTAGTACTGGGGATTGAACTCAGGAGCACTCAGCCACTGAGCTACATCCCCAGCCCTATTTTGTATTTTATTTAGAGACAGGGTCTCACTGAGTTGCTTACCACCTTGCTGTTGCTGAGGCTGGCTTTGAACTTTCCATCCTCCGGCCTCAGCCTTCTGAGCCTCTAGGATTTCAGGCGTGCACCACCGCACCCAGCAAGAACTAATGTTTTTTTTAAACATACTTCTATTCATCAAAATGTTTATAAGATGCCATTCCATGAAGAAAGTAGATTGAAAACAATCTAAAATCCACAATGTTAAATTTAAAAGGGGGGTGGAGGGAGGTGCAGTGGCACCTGTAATCACAGCTACTTGGGAGGCTGAGGTAGGAGGATCATGAGTTCAGCCAGCTCAGCAACTTAGCAAGGCCCTAAGCAACTTAGCAAGCTCCTGTCTCAAAACAAAAAATAGAAAAATGCTGGGGATATAGCTCAATGGTTAAATACCCCAGGATTCAATCCTTGGTGCCAAAAATAAATAAACAAACAAACAAACAAATAAATAAATGGTGGGGTGTTGTAGAGGTGGATAAATTGAGAAGGAGGAAAAGGTGGAGAGGAAATGCATTAAAATCCAACAGTGGCCCATTTTTAGGGAATGCGATTTCTTTTATGATATTGTTCTAAAGATTCTCGAGTGAGCCTATATTGCTCTTAGAAAACGATTTTTTTCAGTGTTCAGTCCAAAGTTACTTTTCCACAAATCTCCTCCAGATGCCTGAATATGACACTTCTCAAATTTTTTGAACCATTCCATCACTTAGCACTCAATAAATACATTGAATGGATAGTGTTTCCCAAGTGTAGCCTCAGACATGGTGATAGGTGTCACTAACTTTGTTTTTCTCTTCATATTCCAGAACAAGTTAGATTTCATACAGATTATTTTATAGCAAATTTATTCCATCTGATTAGTTCCTACTGACATTTGTCTAATATTGACCTGATTTTATTGGCCAGGTTTTCTGTAGTCTTTTGTCTTTAGCTCATTTCTTTAAGTCATTAGTTACATGTGTGCTGTTTATATACTACACACAAACACATATATTTGATATGAAAGTTTAAATTCAACGCTGGGCACAGAGGCACATGCCTGTAATCTCACTTAGGAGTCTGAGGCAGGACTATCACAAGTTCAAAGCCAACTCTGGCAACTTAGTGAGACCCTGTCTCAAAATAAAAAAACAAGGGCTGGGAATATAGCTCAGTTGGTAGAGTGCTTGCCTCACACGCACAAAGCCCTGGGTTCCATCCCCAGCACCACAAAAAAAGGTGAGGGACAGGGAGCTGGAGTGTATTTTAGTAGTATTGTGCCCCTGGGTTAAATCCCCAGTACTGGGAAGGAAGAAAAAGAAAGCTTAAATTCAAACAGTAGTCTCCAAATCTATTATTAATCAACCTCTCTTCACCTCAGAAAATTTTTGTCTTGTGCCCTACTTCCTTCCAGTTTGAAGAGAGAAAAAGACTTCTTAACCCAGATTGGAAACTCCAAGCCTGCATTAGCTTTCTGTTAGACCTGTAGCATCACTTCAGTGGCCTTTGAGGTAGTCATGCAAGCAGAATCAGTTTGGCAAGAGTCCTAGAAATTACCTGGGCTAGCCCTTCTGAACAGCTTTCATCAAAGGGGGCCAAGAAGTGAGAGTGGGGTTTAAAGAATTTCAACGTTTGCTGAGTAAAGATAGTGGGGACCGTGGGTGCTGTGTGAAGGCACTAGAAGCAGTTAGAGCCAGGCTAGTCCTGTCGCCAGATCAGTCAGCTTCAGGCCAGGAGGAGCAGGGTTCAGATTTCTCTGTCTTGGCTTCCTGACTTCCAGGAGTGGCCCTGCCCTGTAAAAGGAAGAGGTTCCTGCCACATGAGGGATTAGAAAGTATGTTGTGAAAATTTAAAGGACCCGGAAACCAGGGAAGTCATTCTAGATAGGAGGTCATGTAAAGGAAAAGGAATATTTGGCCTGGATATGGAAAGAGAAGAAGGGAACACCTGAAAAGTATCATTCTAAGGTACTTTCTGTGGGTCCTTAAAATATTATCAATGAGTAAAATGCTTGCTGCGGTATACTAGGATGTATAGATGGGCGTGATCAAGTTCTGACTCTTAACTAAGTGAGAGTCATCCTACGGAATTCAGAATCAGACAAAATATTTTGTTGTTCAAGATGTTTGCCATTTGGAAGTATGAAAAACCAAAATTCCTATTGACATTCTGCCTCATTCGTGGGACCCCATTATGTCACTAAGAATCCCAGTGAGGCGCCCTAGTGTTTATTGGTGTTCACCTCTCTGGCCACCTTCTTTCTGACTTGTGATGCAGTGCCCCAAAACTCTTTCTTCCTCTTCTGGATATTTCATTGGTGACCTCTCAGAAATCTAATCCACAATCATCCGTGTAGGATAAAATGTGAGTTCTGATAGTCTTTCATTTCTGATGAGGAAATAGAGTAGCAGGTGGACTAGCCAAAATCCCCTGAGTATGAGTTTTTAATTCCTTAATTCCCTGACATTGGAGTGATTTCACTGAAGAGATTGATTTAATCTCTTGCAGTTGATGGATAAACTATTTGCTAAATTTCAAAACAATATCTGTCTTTTGCTTGGTTGGCCACCAGGTTGAGTTGTCTGTCAATCTTTGTTGATGCCACTTGAATGAGGATTTGCATTTTTATTTAACTGGAATTGCTACATCAGGGTGCTCTGTGCCTGTGCAGCCTGCACTCCAGCTATATTATGTGCCCTGTGATCTGACACATTAAAATAACTGACTCGGTTTCATTTTAAACACACAATTTCATAAAAGAGTATCTATATTGCCTGGAGCTGATAAGGCATTCCTCTAAATGTGAACATAAAGGTTATAGGATATGACTCATTTTACAGTTAAAAATAAAGGGGAATTTATGAGAGGCATAAACTTTACAGGTAGGCTTCTATGTTTTGATGTGCAAAGATTTGCCTTAATGCATTCTACTAGCAAAATGTAAAAGTTGCATTATTAGTAAATTTACTGTTTACTTATAATAGTTCATTTTTCATCAGTGGTATTATTCACATGATTAAGTCTTTTAATTTTGCTATATTTCAGGGGTATCACACATATATATTTGCTGCTATCTGCTACTACATACACTCAAAACGAGAAATTTGGACTAATTGTTTTGACTACAAATAACTTCTAAACATGATGCATTTCAAAAGTGGACTCGAATTAACTGAGTTGCAAAACATGACAGTGCCCGAGGATGATAACATTAGCAATGATTCCAATGATTTCACCGAAGTAGAAAATGGTCAAATAAATAGGTGAGTATTTTTCCACTAATATTTTCAATCCAGTGAAAGAAATGGCTTTTAAAAATTATTTCGGTTTTCCGTTATTCGTTTGAATTATTCATTACTAAAGTTATTCTCCATTTGAAGATGCAATTTGAATTTCTGATGTGACATCTGTTGGGCATAGTCTGCAATAGCAGATGAAGCAAATAGGAAAGTAATTTATTCATCTTTTCAAATCTTTCAATTGAGTCTAATAAAAATGTATAAATACATTGGACCCCAACCAGCCCAAACTTTCAAAAGCTCTGTGCTGATGAATTAGACTGTTGGAATTTCACTGCATCCCATATCTGAATATGTTCTACACTCATTGGTACACATTTGAATCAAGAAGTGGTCCACGTTGCATTTGCCAGTGAACCTATGTTAAAACTAGAATTATGTCATCATTATGAGCATCATTTATAGTGTGGATTTTAAATAATAATAACAACACTTGTGCCCATTTGCCATTATGAGAGTGTATTGGAGAGAAATGGTACATGAGGAGAAAGAAAAATAGAGGGGCAGGAGGGGAAAGAAGGCTGGCTTGGAAGCTCCCACCACTAGATGTGCCCTTGGGCGAGTCCTCCCAACGCTTGGGTCTCTTAATTATAAGAGTAGAACAAACAGTATGTCTTTTAAATGATTTGAGACATTTTCTGACTTACTGATTTTTTAGCTGGTTTATGTGGATCCTTGGCAGGAAGTGGTACGGCTTGAGAGTTAGTGGCTTAGCCTCCTGAAAGTCTAGCAGAAGGAGAGTGGTATGTGTCAGACTATTTATTAGAACACCAATAAGTCACTTTGGTAAGGTCAGCAGGAAATTGGGGTAGGGGGAGATAAGAGCATTTTGTAAGTTAACCAGATATCATTATAAAAATCTTTCTGGTAGTCTGTTCTGTGTTCTCATTTAGTGAGTAACTGAAAGCCCACCAAAGGAATTAGCTGTCACTTAGAACACTTAGAATTTTCATTTTTCCTCTCTAAAATGAATATTAAGTCCTCAACTCATGCCCTTTTCCTTAATAATCATGTAAGTATTATTTATTGTGTTAGATGATGATTGTTATTATTGGACTCAAGTTTACTTACTTTCATTTTTTTTTTTTTTTTGAGTCATACTAGCTGCCAATTCTTGAATGCCAGGTATTTTACATGATACCATATACTCTTACAACTGTGATGCAAGGCGAGTTGTCTTCTGCAAATGAGGAAAATTTTAAAATTCAGTTTACAAATAAGGAAGCCAAGGCTCAGAGAAATAAAATAACTTTTGCATGGGCACATACAGAGCTGTCTAGGTCTGTGTCTTTCTGCTCTTCCCTCTGCCTCTGGTTGTACTTGGGTGTTGGTTGAAAAGCTAGGTTAATGGTTCTGTGCCATTTTGTGCCCTTTACTCCTGGAGTGCTCTGTAGTCACTGCTGACCTTCACTGAACAGTCACAACTGGGACATTTTGGTTTTTAACAAATCTTCATTCTCATAGCAACATAGCCTCGACATCATTTATAACATTCAGTTTAGAATCTGAACTTGATTTTTTTAAGTTTTACTTACTCTAACTGTTAAAGTTTTAGGTGATTTCCATTTGCAGTAGGTGAAAAAAAAAATACCCATCCTCATCCCAGACTTGGGCCCTTTGCCCACATGAACTCACTTCCCCGTAGACTATGACTCGGCCTGTGAGCTGGTTCAGAGCTGTGGGTGCTGACCACTGGTTTTGTAGACTTTGGTTCCACTGTTTCCAATGCATTCTGATGCTTTTCTTTCTTTCCTCATTTTATTTTCCTTCCTTCACTGACATAGTTCACAAATCTTATTTTTTTTTTCTGGCTCAAAGATAATTAAATTTAAAATAGCATATGATAACACTGAAGCTAATAAAGGTAACAAAACATAAAACAAACAAAAAACTCTGCCAATCTTAAGGCCCTCAATGGGTGACCTGGCTTATTGCTGGCATATTCTAGTAATCTATGGTTTCTGCAAAAGCTATACCTGAATACTTTTCACTCCTTTTGTAGCTTTCTCACATTTGTGGGAAGAAGACAGGACCAATTATATGAACCTAAAAAACAACACCCCTTCCCAAATAGTGAACTGCCAGGTAATAGTGACTCTTTTTAAGATGCTAGAGAAAATGTTGAAAACAATGCTGAACCCAGATTAGCTGGCATCTAGTTTGCCTGCAAACTCCTCACGGGGATACAATAAGAATTATTATTATTTTTTTCAGTTTCTTTTTTTAATTTATATTTTTTCTTTATATATGACAGCAGAATGCATTACAATTCACAATAAGAATTATTTTTAAGTTTAGTTAATAATAGAGTAGAGCCAGGCATGCTCTACTCTGTTATTATAGAGTAGAGCTCTATAATCCTAGAGGTTTGGGAGGCTGAGGCAGAAGGATGGCAATTTTGGGACCAGTCTCAGCAATTTAGAGAGGGTTCAATCCCTGCTACCAAATTAATGATGATGATGATGATGATGTAGTAGAATCCCAGCAGGGTGGTTCACACCCATAATCTCAGCAACTCAGGAGGCTGAAGCAGGAGGATCACAAATTCAAGGCCAGTCTGAGCAATTTAGACCCTGTCTCAAAATAAAAAATAAAACGGACTGAGACTGTAGAGTGCTTGTCTGGCATACACGAGGTCCTGGGTTTGATTCCCCAGTACTGCGGGGGGGAAAAAAAGTGAAAACCAAAAGAGAGCCATTTGAGCATTAAAATATCTACAGTTATTCCAGTTCAATGTTTTTATTTTATTTTATTTTATTTCATGCCCTAATTTTGGGGTTCAATCCTAGAAATCTCTACCTGTAATGACAAAGCTTTCGAAATGTCTGCTAGATCAGGGCTGTAGATAGTTTGATGTGCACATGAAACATTTAGAAACCTTGTTAAAATGCAGACTCTGATTGGGTAGGGCTGGATTGGGGCCTGAGGTTATGACTCCTGGCAAGCTCCCAGGTGATTCCCAAACTGCTGGTCTATGGACCGTACTTCTGAGTAGCAAGCTTTAGGCTCCTTCGAGATGTGAGCCTCTTGAGAGGGACTGTCTCAGTCATCTCTTTCTTCCTTGTACTGATCATTACACTAGACACAGGGGGGACATTCCAAATAATTACTTTTTGAATGAAGGGTGTGTGGGGGGTGTGGGGGGGTGAAGTAGATGGCTGTGGAATTAGACCTGTATGGAATCCTGGCTCTGTCATAGATCTGTGTGATCTTACGTTCTAAGCTTAGGCCTATCCTTGTAAGACAGAAATAATGGAATTGTTGGGGAATGTGTAATGTAGTACTATTTTAGGTTAAGAACTTAGGCTCTGTAATCAGCCTGCTTAGGTTCAAATTCTGGCACAACAGTTTTAGTAATTAGCAATGTAACTTTGGTCAAGTTATTTAATTTCTCTAAAATAGCACGAAAATAGTACCAACCACATGTAATTAATGAAAATAGATGAGAAAATCCACCTAAAGTATTTGGCACTGTGTCTGGCAATAGTAAGCCTCTTAGTATGAGAAAAGTCTGTCTCAATAAAGCTACAACCCTCTTTCTTTGGCAAGGACTCCTTTTTTCTCCACCCCAAAGAGCAACAATATTGCTTTAGGTTTTGGATGACTGCTGGTTATTGCTCTCTTAAATTTGTTGAAATATTTGTAGATTATCCTAAGTGTATCCAGAATACTCTTCAAATATTTCCATACTTATCTGCTACTGTTCTCATTTCTATCTGTGGATAATCATTGTTATGAACCGGGTGTTATTAAACAAAGACTTTCATTAAGATTTGTTCTTAAAAGAACTTGAGGTAACTCCTGTCATCGCATCCTAAATCAACCTTTTTTGGTCTTTATATATTTTTTTGGAGTTCATGTAGTGACTTTTTTTTTAAGTCACCGAAGAGGACCCTTGAAAAGTTCTCTCTTCTTTTTTCCTAATATATTTTGTATACTTAAGGGAAGAAGATTCCATAACTTCTTCCCATATTCAGTCAGAATATTCTTCCCTTGCTTCTGTCTTTCCTGTTACAATTAAAGTCTCTTTTCTCCATGTTTAGTGGGGTTCGTTCACCAAGCAAGGCTTTCCTGCTTCTCAGTCTTCTCTTTAAACGCCTCTGCTATTTCGTTAATTCTTTCTCTTCATTTTTCTGATCCCTTTTTCCGTGCTTGAGGAAGGGTCATGTAAGCTGAGCCACTCAACTCTCTCTTGTCTCTTTTTTGTTCTGAATCCTCAAATGAAGCACTACAATCTAGTAAGAACCTAAGCAATGGAGATTAAAACAGGAAGATTATCTTTCCATTGTACAACTCATCCTTAACTGGATTGTTGTGGTGGTTGATTTATTTTTAGTTTTACATAAGTGCTTTTATGTTGCTTGCTTCTTTTCTCACTACTTACATCCTTCTAAAGATTTTTTTTTTTTTTTTAAATTAGGGGTCACCAAATCACCCGTTGTAGGGTTTAGTTTTGTTTTCACAGAGCAATTGGCTACCTAATGGTTGATCAAATTCTGCTTTATGGGAACAGACTGACCCAGTGCAAACTCTTTACTTTCATCATCCTAAGATCACATGTCAAAGACATTTTATCCCATGGCACATTTTAAGTTAATAAAAAGAAATTTTAAGTCAATTTCATTGTGAGGTCAGTGCTTTTTTAACAAATAGTTGTTTTTTTAAAATGATAAGATAACAGAAACTTGTGATGAGCTGCTTGACCTAGATATTTTGAATGGAATTTTCCACTACAAAAAAGGTTGGTTTTTACCCATTTTTTAAAAAGTTTATAGGAACACAAAGATTTAAAAGCTTTAAATATTTTAAAAATTCTACCTAGTTGATAGGGCTGAGGCAGGAGAGTCACAAATTCAAGACCAGCCTGGGCAACTTAGCAAGAATCTATTTCAAAGTAAAATTGAAAAAAGGCTGGGGATGTAGCTGGGTGGCAGAGCACCTGCCTAGTATGCATGAGGCCCTGGGGTCAATCCTCAGCACTATTATGAAAAGCTAAAGGGAAGAAAAAGTTGAAACACCACAAAGAGAATAAGATATTCTTCTTTAGCTAAATTTTCCTGCAGCTTAAACTACTTCCTAATTCCTAAGTAGACAGTACACACTCAGTTTATATTCCCCGGAATTGCCAGTGTGGGGGTGGAGGCATACAGAAGGAGCTGAAAAGCACAGGGTGCACTATATAATCACTACGGATTCAGGATGAGTAAAGCAGTAAGTAGGTTGGAGTGAGAAAACTGAGTTCAAACCAGAGTGTAGGAAGACTTGTGATCGCTAAGGGTTTTCACTTGCAGGAGGGGACTTACTGGGAGGACTAAGGGCCTCTCTGGGGAGAGGGATTCCTGCCACTGCCTTGTTTTTCATTCTCTGTCCTCGGGAATGCCCTGTCTTGTCTCTACCCACACTTGTGAGAATACTGTGATTGCAGGGGGACCTAAGATCTGAACACTGAGGCAAAATCAAATTAAGCAGCACTTGAAATGGCATGGTGAGGAATTTGTACCTGAAGCTTATTCAGTGGGGAAGCCAGTGGAGATTTTTTTGGGAAAATCTATTAAGTCTTACTGCAGAAAGTGGACCAACAGAGGCAGAGCTGGGGAGTCACTCAGCAAACAACAGGCTTTAATGTATTCCTTAATGGTTGTGCCTTAGAACAGCTCTGTAAATCAGTTTCATCTCCTTCTGCAGTTCCACAGGAAATTGCTGGAGGCCAGGCAGGGACCTTAGTCTTCTGCTCTTCTAGTTGCACAATGTTTGACCCTATTTAATGTGCCCTCCTCCATGTCAGGTTGCCCACATCCTTTTCTTCTCTGCCCACCAGTCCTCTGCCATCGACTCTGAGGAGTGTTGGCCAGGCCTGGTACTGAGATCTGCCAAAATGGTCCATTGATGGGTTTATTTGAAAAAAAAAATGCTCAGGCTTTTCCCTTAATTTGAAAATAATGGAAATTCTCTTTGGAAAACAAGTTTCCTCCACAAGAAAGGCAGATGGGGGACTTGTTAAGTAAAGATTTGGTAGACTTGAGTTCTGGTCATTCCAATTAGCCTGATTACATTCAGTCTTTATGGAACAATAGGACTTATAAATATGAGTCAGTTCCATTTTGGAAAGTCCAGAACCCACACTTCTTTGGGCTGCCAGTCTGGAAGGGAAGGCTGCTTTTCCCTGACCCTCTGCAGCCAGATCTGTAAATCTCAATTCTGTGAAAAGATTTAGAATGTTAAGGACAAAGGAAAGGCCAAACCAGTCCTTAGCAGCAATGCTATACAGCTGTCAGAGTTCAAAAATGCCATGATGCCATGCTGTTGTTAAAAACAAGCAACACTATTTCTCAGGTTTAATGCTTTTAAGTTTCCCCTGGCTAATCCCCCCCCAATACTTGCTTTTCCTTCTCTGGATTCCTTATCTCATCTTCATTTTGCTCAAGCCAACATTTCTGTACTGGTGTTAGCTGCTATGGTCTTATTTCAAGTGGAGCATGAACTCCTATTTCTGGAGACCAGGTTTTCACTGTGGTCCTTCACAGTGACTGGCAGAGTCTGCGGATTGTGCAGTTTATACACATGATGGCTTCAGAGTGAGTTAGTAGTATATATTTTTTCTGGTCTTTGACTTATTCTGGCAAAATAGTATAAACTTGGAGAAGTAATGCCAGGGAGAACCAGATCTCTTGGATTAAAGATGAAGAAGGGAGATGAGTAAAATCGACATCAATGTAACATATGATTCATTTTTTAAAAAAATGCCTTATTGTGAAGTACAACATGACTCAAAAAGTGTTTGGAAATATAATGCACAGTTTCAAAATACATGCTTCTTTAATACTTCAGCTTAGGTGGTTTCAAACTTATTAATGAACAATTCACTGTGATTAGTTCTAGCCATGGTCAGATAATTGATCTCCACACCTAGAAGGACCAAAAAGCAGCCTTAATGTGTATTGAGAATACATGAAGTGGTTTACCTCCTTTGACAAAATTATTTTTTTAACTAGAGATTTTTTTAAAAATTAGAAATTTAGGCCATCAAGTTCTGATACCAACTCTGAATGCATTCAGTGAATCTAATGGTTCTTAGAGCATTTTGAATTTTTGGTTGTATGTGGACACAATGTTTTTTATTTGTTTATTTTTTTTTTATGTGGTGCTGAGAATCGAACCCAGGGCCCCACGCATGTGAGGCAAGCGCTCCACCACTGAGCCACAACCCCAGCCCTGAATTTTTTTTTTTAAGAGAGAGAGAGAGAGAGAGAGAATTTTTTTTTAATATTTATTTTTTTAGTGTTTGGTGGACACAACATCTTTGTATGTGGTGCTGAGGATCGAACCCGGACCGCACGCATGCCAGGCGAGCGCCACCGCTTGAGCCACATCCCCAGCCCCCCCCCCAGCCCTGAATTCTTACTACTATATATTTGTATGTATCCCATCCCAACTCAGGCCCCTCCCATGCTGTGGAGAGGGATGATTAATGTCTGTTCCTCTCATGCGCTGCTAGGTGCTGGACCCATGTTTTATGCATGCACTCTCTTGAATTCTCCCAGTAGTGCTGTAGGGCAGTGTCATCATGTCACTCCCATTTCACCCTGAGCAGACAGGGTGGGGCATGCCCAGGTCCCCAGACCTGGTAAGGATTTGAACTTAAGTTATGAATCCCGTATGCTTTCTCAAAGCCCTAGCTTTACCCCTAAAGTGTGGACCATGAGCCCTGCCTCCCCTGCCGTAACTTTCTGAGTGCTATAGGAATTAGACTATATAGTGCCTGCACCGCTAATTAGGTAGCCCCAGATCACCCCCATCGCCTCCTCCTGTGACTTGCATATGGTAGGTTCTAGAAGAATGTTTGATGGTGAGACAGCTTTTTTTTTAAAAAATTTTTATTCTTTTTAGTTATACATTACAGTAGAATGTATTTTAACATATCATACAATACATGGAGTATACTCCATGTATACTTCCCATTCGTATGGTTGTACATGATGGGGAGTTACATTGTTCATGTATTTATATGAACATAGGAAAGTAGTGTCTGATTTATTCTACTGTCTTTTATTCCCATCCCCCCTTCCCTTCTTTTCCCCTTGTATAATCCAAAGTATTTCTGTTCTCCCTTACCCCTGCCTTATTGTGTGTTAGCATCCCACATATCAGAGAGAACACTTGGCCTTTAGTTTATTGGGATTGGCTTATTTCACTGAGCACAATAGTCTCCAGTTCTACCCTACCAGCAAATGCCATAATTTCATTCTTATTTATGGCTGAGTAATATTCCATTGTGTATATGTACACACATTTTTATTATCCATTCATCTGTTGAAGGGCACATAGGTTGGTTCCATAGCTTAGCTGTTGTGAATTGAGCTTTAATAAACATTGATGTGGCTGCGTCACTGTAATATGCTGATTTTAAGTCCTTTAGGTATATTCCAAGGAGTGGGATAACTGGGTCAAGTTTTCTGAGCAATCTCCATTTATGAAATAGGGAGAGGGAATTTCTATTTAGTAACTCTTGGACTCCTAGAGTATGAATGAACTCAGAAGAAAGGTTGCCTCTAGTATTCTTTAAAATGCCAGGTTTATAGTAGTCTTTCTTGTTATCTAATTTTCCACTTAAAGGAAAATCTACATAAATAATTAACTTACATTGTATGTAATATTGTCATTTATTATGAAAATGATTCAAAATATATAGCTGTTTTAACTTAGAGTTGTGTTTCATTTCATCTCAAAATGAGCATCTGTTACAGGTATTTTTTGGTACCAGGTAGAGTGAGGGATATGAGGCAAGGTACCTACTTTGGAACACTCAGCATTTATTTGGTAAAACAAAAATGTAGGCAAGTAATTCTGGTAAAACAAACAAACAAAAAAAATAGGGGGTGTCGAATAGGGCAATACATTTTTTAGGCAACCAGTTGATAAATTTTCATATGTAATATGTTTTGGTAAGCAATAAATTTTTAGTCTTGATGTTAAGCTTGAAATCATTATCATAAGGTTAAATATATTATGCATGTCTTTACAGCAAGTTTATTTCTGACCGTGAAAGTAGAAGAAGTCTCACAAACAGCCATTTGGAAAAAAAGAAATGTGATGAATATGTAAGTGTCATTATAATAAAGTGTACTTATTTTTTAATCACATAAATTGGGACAGTTGTTTTTAATTCATATAGCATGGTACCAAAAACAGAGTTGTCTGTACACTAGGATATTCCTCACATATCCTATGTAATTTCTCCTGAAACCCATTTAAAAAAAATAACTAGCTCAACTCAGAAAGGATTTCCATGCTGGTTCCTAGTAGTGCATTAAAAGCTTTGACCTGATGGGCTTTCCTAGATAGAGATGGACTGACTTAGTGGGAACGTGTGTTTCTTTGTTCAGATCCCAGGAACGACCTCCTTGGGCATGTCCGTCTTTAACCTGAGCAACGCCATCATGGGCAGTGGGATTTTGGGACTTGCCTTTGCCTTGGCCAACACTGGAATCCTTCTTTTTCTGTGAGTATTGGCATGACAGAACTTTCCATTTTTTAGAACTTTTCTGTATACTTATGTTACTACGTAGAAGAAATCGGAAATAATTCTAAGTAATTCATATTTATTTATGTCTAACTTGGCTAAGTGACCAATAAGACTTTTATTTATCGTCAGACTGACTTTCCAAAGGAAGGAAAACTTTTTTATTAATTAAAAAAATTGAAATAGCCTTAAAAAAAAAGATCAAAACATTTGAAAATAGCAGTTTTTCTTGTACTCTTCTTGTCTCTTTTCATATCACCTAAATGGGCAAACTATTAAGATATCTAACTCAGCCAGTCACCACTTTGGTATTTGGAGTGCCATGGAGCATGTACTATCGCCAAAGACAAATTGCAGAGGTGTTTGTAAGAAGTGTGCAAGAAGCAGAGATGAGAAATGAGTTGTACCCTTTCTCTGAGATTCAGTGATAAGAAAATGGCAATTTTCTTTTTGAATAACTTCATCTCCAACTGTTGAATGGGATTTTCTGCAAATGTTGTCAGTTGGAACATGATTAAGACAGATCATAGAATTCATACCAGGAAAAGTGTCCCCCAGCCTGCAGAGCCGTCACATCTCCAGGGAGTGTCAGGGCACCTTCCTGTGTGAGGCAAGGAGCACGTGCGTCCTCTTGGCCCTGCCTGTTCCCCAGTTTTGCACTAAGGCTTCACAGACCTTGCTCTGTTTGGTTCTCATTGTCATGTCTTTCTAATGGTAGCATCATTTTCTTGGAAACAGAGACTACAACCCTACAGATTGTGTGTGTTTGTGTTGCCAAGTACCAGGTTTAAGAGTGATATGACATATTATCATTATTTTCTTTTTTTGGTATATGTGAAACTCTGAGGATGCTGCAGGCATATTGGGTAGTTACACTTGTGATTTTCAGTGCATTGACATGAGACATTTGGTCCCAACTCCTGTTCTAAGTGACGGTGTACTCTTAAGCAAGTGACTGAGCCTCTCTAAGCTTCCCTTTCTTTCTCTTTAAGACAAGGAAATCGTACAAGATAAGATCTCAGAACCCTGCCAACCTCCAAAGCCCTATGGTTCTGTGACTTCTTTCAGTCATTCCAAAGCTAGAAATTCATTGAGTTCATAAATGTGTATTACATTTCTTTCTTTCTTTCTTTTTAAAAAGTGATTGTAATATATCAAGTTATATGTTAAAGTATAAAAAGTCAATTACTTGATGGGCATAACAACTTTTGCAGCTCTCGCTTTATTCTGCATCCTGACAGCTCTACAAGGTAGGTACCATACTATCGACAGTTCCCCATTTCACAGATAGGAAACTGAGGCATAGGGAGTAACTTGCAATGGGAATCTCCCTTTGTCACCTTTCTGGGGATTCCCTTCACTCCTCTTCTGTGGTAGAACCCTTGTTTCCTGTATTTCATTTCTTCCTCTTTCTAGTTTTATTTCCTTGCTGTTATTGCTGTGAAAAACATGAATGGGAATAAAGTTTTTGAGTTTCGTGTCTGAAAAATGTTTTGATTCTACTTTCATCTTTTGTTTGTTTTTTTTGTTTTTGTTTTGGAGACATCTCTTTTCTTTATTTTAAAATACAAAACTATAGGAATTGAAATAATATGGTTGTGACATTAAAAAAAAAAAAAAGGCATACAAATTGGTGGAACAGAATACGAGCCCAGAACTAAATCCCATATATAGTCAACTGATCTTCACCAAGGATGCAATATTAGACCAAGGAACAACTCCCAATAGAATTGGGACAACAGAATATTCACATGCATAATGATGAAATTGGACCCAGATTTTATGTCTTACAGAAAAATAAAGCTTGAAATGAACTAAAGACTTAAAAAAAAAAAAAAAAAAAAACCCAGGCTATAAAAGTCCTGGAAAAAAAACAAGAGGGTAAACTCTATGACTGTGGTCTTGGCAGTGATTTCAAAGGAATGATATAAAAAACACAGATAACAGATCAAAAATAGATTAGTGGAGTTGCATCAAATGAAGAAGCTTCTTTTTTTAAAAAAATTTTGTTCTAATTACTTATAAATGACAGTAGAATGTATTTTGACACATCACACATAAATGGAGTATAATTTTTCATTCTTCTGGTTGTACATGATGAAGAATCACCAGTCGTGTAGTCATATATGTACATAGGGTAATAATGTCAAAGTCATTCTACTATCTTCCTACCTCTCTACCCCTCCCCTCCTTCACTCCCCTCTGTCTAATCCAAAGTAACTCTATTCCTTGAAAAGAAGAAATCAATAAACCCAATTAAAAATTCAATGGAAAACATTATCACCAGACTAGACCACTTGGAAGACAGAGCCTCAGGCAAAGAAGACAAAATATATAACCTTGAAAATAAAGCTGATCATGCAGAGAGGATAGTAAAAAACCATGAATTATGGGATAACACGAAAAGACCAAATTTAAGATTTATCTGGCTTCGTCTTTGATTTGATTGGCAGTTTGGCTAGATATAGAACTCTGTATTGGTGATAATTTTCCCTCAGAAGTTTGAAGATATTGCTCCATTGCCTTTGAGATTTTTCTGTTGTGAGATTCCAAATACTTCTGATTCCTAATCTTTTATATATAGTCCAGTTTGGGGTTTTATTTTTTCTGGAAACTTGCTGAATCTCTTTGTTGCAGTGTTGCGCAGTTTCACAGTGACCTTGTGGAGCCGTGCTGTGGGCCTGTTTTCATTTTTTTGTGTGAGCAGTTGATGTGTCCTTTTGAGAAATCCATGGTCTTCAGTTTGGGGAACTTTCCTTAAATTATTATGTTAATGAATTATTTCCTCTTGTTTTTCTTTTCTCTCCTGGAACCATTACCCAGATTTTGGACCTTCTGGACTGGTCCTCCAACTTTTAAAATATTTTTAAAATTTTCATTTCTAATAACATTTAGCTGTACTCCTTGGGATTTGTCAGTTTTTTCCCCCAGCTCCTTAGTGACTATATTATTTTTGTTATTAGTTTTTTATTTATAGGAGCTTTCTAAAATACTCTGAATGTTCCCTTTCTTAATGTTATTTTGGTTCTGTCTCAGGGTTAGAAGTCTTAGGGTCATTGTCTTCTCTGAGAATTCTTATGATAGTTTCTCTCCATTGTGGAAAATTTCAAACATAGAATAATATAAAAGATTTTCATGTTCCCTCATCCTATGGCCACAACTATTTAATCAATCCACACCTAGATTGTCTTGAAGCAAATCTCAACCATCGTATCATTTCATCCATAAATATTTCCGTATGTGTAACATATAAGAACTAACATATAACATATAAGAACTCTTAAAACATAACCATAATATGTCATACCTAAAACCAACAATTAACAGCAGTTCCTTAATATTGAATATCCAACTAATATTTAAATTACTGATGATTTCATATTTAAACAAACCAAAACAGTTGGATTTTTTTCAAATCCCCAGTACTCAAATAAGGTTCATACAGTGCAGCTGTTGGTTATTATGTGTTTGAAGTCTCTTAATCTATACAGGGTCTGCTGTCTCTCTCCTTGTTTTCCGTGTCATTTGTTGAAGAAACTGGACCATTTGTCTTAGAGATTTTCTAAGGATTGCATCCTTTTGTGCAAGTCGATGTTTGTTTTATTGTTTTGGATTCTTTCCTCAGATGTCAGGTGGCTCTTCCTTGTCTGTTATATTCAAGAATGCGGAAAAAGCAAGGCTGACTGGAACCTTGTGGGTGCACATGGGGCCAGTTTGTAACAACTTCACTCAAGGTGCTCTTCATAACCCTTTACCTGAGGAGCCACCAGTGTCAGTTTCTCTATCAAATCTCCTTCCTTCCTTCCTTCCTTCCACCCACCCACCCACCCAGGGCCTCATGCATGCTAGGCAAGCCCTCTACCACAACCACAGAGCTATGTGCCTACCCCATGTCAGTTTCTCTAGGATGCTTCCTCTTTAGTTCTTTGGATCACACAGAGAAGATCTTGCAATTCCTGCAGGGTCTGGGCCTGGGTGTTGTCTTTCTGGGGACCAAGTCAGAGGAGGGGGCTGTTGGGACTATCACAGCATGCCTGTGTTCCCTGAATCCCTAATTCTCATCACAGTGCCCTATCCCCAAATTGTGCCTAGTTCCTCACCCAGAGGTCTGTATTTTAAACTGTCCAGTATCTTCAAACTCTGTTAAGATGGAGAAAAGAGCGACGGCTCAGCTTTATGGAGGAAAAGCCTGCTCTGGGGGTTCTAGCTGCCCCTTCAAGAGCACTCAACATATTCAGCATATTTTAATTTATCCCTTCCATTGTCCCTTACTTCCAGTAATGCCACCAGAGTGTTTTGAGGATTCTGTGGTAAAAATTGGGTTGGTCTTGGCTCTGTCCACTGTCATTTCAGATTCAGTTCTGTCCACCTTCCAGCTTCTGAAACAATTGTCTTCCTTATCTTCTTATTGTCTCAGCAGCTTTACACCTTGAAAAGAGTAAAATCAAATCCCTTTACTTTTATATTAAAAGGGAGGAGGAGTAAATCCTTGTATCCAATCTACCATTCTTGGAAATCGGTTAATTTTTTTCCACATTTTTTGTTGGTGCATTATAGTTGTACATATTGATGGGATTTGTTGTTATATATTTGTACATGCACACAGTGCAACAATACAATTTGGCCAGTATCACTTCCCTCTTTGCTCACATCAATTGATTTTTAACTATACTGACTTAGGGATAATTGATCTCGTATCTCATGACTCTTTTGCTTCTGAATGAGCAAAGAATTGGATAATCTTGACTTTTATAGTTGAGAGATTTCCCCTAGATGAAAACATTATAGGTCATTTAGTTCTTCGTAAGACACAGAAATAGCGAGCACAACACACCAAATCTTTGGTGAAAGCTCCTGACGGTAGTAGTATAAAGAGTCAAACTTAAAAAGTGTCTCATGACATACAGGACTCTCCCACCTTAGAACAAGGACTCGCTCTGTGACTGTTGTAAAACCAGCTGCTCCCACAGCTGCTCAAA